TTCCTGGTCCCAACAAATCCCCTTTTATTAAACGAATGTGAATTCCTCTCATTCACATTCAGCAAAGGCCCGGTAAAGAATCTTTCAAAGGTGAATTTATGACCACAGACCTTATCTAGCTTGGAAAGCTGCCATGTAAATATTTTCCAAACGCAGTGCTGTGCAAGGAAAGATTTGGCACAGAGTCTCTGAGATTCACAGACAGATCTTCACACTCCTGAAACTAATGAATGAACCAACAAATTGTTTCCTGCAAATGCCCACTCCCCTTTCGCTCCTCTTTTATTTCCTATGGGAGGGGCCATTCACTGTCCATCTGTGGCTTTACTCCCAAGTCGACCCTGATTTGTTAGCTATTCTTTTCTTCTGGCAGCTCTGCGCATGCGCACACTGGGAACAGGCTCCAGCTGTTCTTCTGCCTCACTGATGTTTGACTCTGAAGGCAGCTGAGAACCTCCAGACCTTGATCCCCTCTCTGCCTCCGACACAGAGCCCTCATCAGAGCCTTCCCCAGCCTCCAGGATTGGCCCATGTTCCTCCCCAACCTCCTCACTGTCTGACTCTGCTGCCAAATCTACTGGCTGCTGGCAGGCCACAACAGCATCTCCAAGTTTGGGGGATGTACTGGCACATATTTAGGATTGTTGCACTGTACCAAAGTCACAAGATTGCCATTTGTGTATTTCCCAGCCGGTGTTGTGGCCTGTCGGGTGCCGGCCCCTCCAGCAGCCAAATCAGAGGAGGAGGAGGCATGGGAGTTAGGATCAGCATCAAAGCAACCTGAAAGCTCCGAGGGGGAAGAGGGGATGGAGCTGGCAGAGAGAGAGATAGGGAGGGAGGGAGGGAGGGAGAGACGGAGGGAGAGCCTGGCTATCCATCAGCCCTCAGGCGGAAAGTCAATAGCCTCCAGATCTAGAGGTGGCTGATGAGGAAGAGGAGGAACAGCTGGGTCCAGTGTCTGACATGGAGATGCGCAGAAGGCAGAGGAGAGGAGAGTAGTGGAAATCAATTGGCCGGTCCTTGGGATGGAAGAGCCACTGCTGCTAGCGAGGCCCCACCGTAGCTCTGGGGGAAAAAGGCAGGGGGTGGAGATGAATAGATGCGGCAGACAACTATTCATCTTCCAGCCAGACAGACTTGTTAGCCTGCGGTGAGAGAGAAACTTTTTGCCAGAACAGCCGGCACTTCTAATAAAGGGATCTTTTGAGTTCAATTCAGAGACTTTGTCATGTTTGGAGAGCTGGGTCAGAACAGCCGGCTTCCTACCAAGGAAGCCAAATTTGCTTAACAATTGCACAGGCCACCTAACCAGTGTAAAGTGGCACTTAAGAACCATGGCAAAGAAGTTCGTAACATCAGCCTGACTCGCTGAACAACCACTTTTCCTTAACAACAGAATGGATGGTCCCAACGGTGGTCGTAAATCAAGGACTACCTACACTGTTGTAAAGTTTGCAGTGTCACTCAACATGCCAAGCTCTTGGCTCTCCCTCAACTCTGCATGGAAGTTCAACAGGGAGAGCTACCCTCTTCCCGTTTTCTTTCGTTTCCAAACCTCGCTTCCTGTTTTTGATTTAGCCCAGGGAAGCAACTATGCTTCTTGGGCACCAGGGGGCAATCGATGTGTATTTTATGCAAAGCTGACTCTTCTCTCACTTATGCAAAAACTCAGGACCGGGTGTCCAACATGGGTTTTGCATAACTAGAGAAGGGGTTTGAGTGGAAACTCAAATTGTTCAAAGCCCCGATTTCTACTTCCTGTTCTGTTGCTCCTGTTGTATCCAGTTTTGGTCACTACACTATAAAAAAGATGTTGAAGCTCTAGAAAAAATGCAGAGAAGAGCAACCAGGATGATTAGGGGACTGAAGGCTAAAACATANCACTGGAAGTTTTTAAGAAGATGTTGGATAACCATTTGTCTGAAGTGGTGTAGGATTTCCTGCCTAAGCAGGGGGTTGGACTAGAAGACCTCCAACGTCCCTTCCAACTCTGTTATTCTATTCTGAATGCTATTTAAATTTTCTAAAATGCCTTTTCTATCAATGACATTTTAATACTGGCTTTTTCTTTTCTTTTCTTTTTTGCTTCTGTACAATATTTTGGGCCACCCTATGAAGCACTCAATTTGGAATTCAGTTTTGGAAAGGGTATCGATTTTCCAAATATGGGAAAAGGTGTATTGCTATTACATCAATTCAGGGTTTTAGAAAAGGGTGATGTTGTTGGTTTGGAACTCGCTAGAACTGCTAAAGGAATGGGCAGAATGTCTGTTTTCTAAACAAATTACAGTTTCCAACATTTGTTTGTTGTGGGAAGCAACCTGTTGGGAAGGAGGGAAGGAAAGGAAGGAAAGGATTAGGAGAACCGAAGTCCATGAGCCACTTCTTTCATTTGGCGCAGGTGAGGGTGGGGGGTCAGCTTCTATCTATCAGCATCTTTCTAGCTATTTCTCTATCACTCTATCCATCTCTCTATCCCTTTATCATCTATCTATCTATCTATCTATCTATCTATCATCTATCTATCTATCTATAGATCTCTATCTCTCTCTCCCCATCTCTCCATCTATTGGATATAGCCAGGTCACCTGAGGGTGGCTGCTTACAAAAGTTACCCTGGATAACCAAGTTAATAAAAGATTGGATCAAGCAACCATGCTTTTACTCAACCTGAACAATGAACCTGAACAATGATACATCTTGAAAATGTTGATCTGTGGGTTTCATTTCATGTAAACAATGGATGGAAATGATAAAACACGATTCCTCCGCTGAAATCTTGTTGCAAACAAACAAACAAAAAAACCTCACAAAAGTAACAGGGCTTTTCAACACAACATTTCTCAAACCATCCAGGCACCCAATTTTCTCTGCCTTTGAGATTGCAGCCTTTATATTTTCATTCTAATTTAATTCAAATTCATACAGACTTCAAGTACCTAGACCAAGGTGGAGGGAAAAGATCCTTCATGCCAATGATTGATTTTTGACACTTCTGTTTGCTGAGCCAGGAAGCTCCAGTAAATGTGCCTAATCCAGATCCAAAGCAAATTGCAGCCTGTGAAGCTGGAAAACTGTGGAGAATTTCTCTGTTTATCTCCAAATTCCACCCTATGACTACAGATGGACTTACAGCCATTCATTCAGTGACCATGCAAAGGTACCACGGCACTGCAAACAGTGACTTACGACTGGTTCTCACACTTATGACTATCACTGCATCTGTTCTGACCTAGGCTTCCCCAAAAAGCACGAGGCAGAGTCCTGGTCCCGACAAAACCCCTTTTATTGAACGAATGTGACTTCCTCCCATTCACATTCAGCAAAGGCCTGGCAAACAGTCTTTCGAAGGTGAATGTATGACCACAGACCTTATCTAGCTTGGAAAGCTGCCATGTAAATATTTTCCAAANAAGCTCTCTTTCAACCCTATTATTCCACGTTCTATGTTCTATGATCTGTTCGACTCAACATAGCTAGAGAGAAGATGTAGGATGTAGGGTGGGAAGACTCCAAAAGTCAACAGTTGACCTAGGGACAGCTCATTCTATCTCGCACAGTTCCTGTGGGGAGGAACACAGCAGGAGGAAACAGTACGGATGCTTTGATCTATAAAGAATGAGGTATACTTACATTCTTTTGGCCTGGAACAGAGAGATCTTCAGTGGCAGATAAGGCTTCTTCCATACGTTTGGCCTGGTTGTTGCAAAGCCCTGTTTCCAGATTCTCCAGATTTTCATCTTTAATGTCCACCAGAAAAAGACTATCTGGGAGAAGGAAGAATATTAAGGGTCAACCTTGAGGCAGGTTGCTTAAATTCGGGTCCCCAAAGGGGCCTGCTGTGTGAGCAAAAAATGCCAAGATGATCAAAATCCCACACTTTTTTACACCATGATTTGTATCTAGCACACTGTTCAAACATAGTGCATTTTATGGCGGAATGTATTGTGTAATTTCCCCAAAAGGAGCTAATTCAGTAATTTGAGTTATATGTGCTACATGCCTACAAAACAGTACAAAACTACAGATCATTGAATCGTAAATCTGGAAGGGACCTTGGAGGTCTTCTAGACCAACCTTCTGCTCAAGGCAGGAGACTTTATACTATTCTGAGCAAATAGCTGTCCATTCTCTTCTTAAAAACCTCCAGTGATAGAGTACCCACAAGGTAAACCGTTCTACTGATTGATCGTTCTCACTGTCAGGAAATTTCTCCTTAGTTCTTTCTACCTTGGACTTTTCTTGGGAAAATGATAAATGACCAATCTCTGTTACAAGCTTACCTCCAACTCTGACCACCAGCCATGTAGACTTTGGGTGGGCTTTGATATTAGCAATAGACATGTGTTCTGACCCCCCTCTTCGCTCGTTCACAGACGACAGCCAGACCAAACTTCAAAGGAAATATCTTTATCAGTCCTGGCTCAAGCTGGCTGTGAGCCCAAAAATAAATGTAGATAAAGTCTC